GAATATAAGATGATGCAAAACTAGTAATGCAACTACAAATACATATTCTATGTAAAAGCTGTAATCCAGTTCCTAGTTAACAGTTGCTCTGTGTGGGTTTGAATGTTTGTTATGAAATGTTTGTAATTTGTTTGTTTCATTGGTGAGCATGTATTAAGTTAGGAGCAGCAGATTCCAGATATGACAAGTTTTCCCTTTGGAACAAAAGTGCAAAAAACATGCAACCCCATGTCAAATGAACTGACCTTATTTTAACTCTGTGGCCACATGTAGTTCTTTTATTTGTTAATACTCAACTTGTGCTCAAACCACCATGTGTCACACAAACTAGCATATTTATCATTTGCTGTGTTTCCTTCAGGAGGAGACTCCCTTGTTCCTCGCCGCCCGAGAAGGCAGCTTCGAGGCGGCTCAGGTTCTCCTTGACCACTACTCCAATCGTGACATCACTGATCACCTGGACCGGCTTCCCCGTGATACCGCTCAAGAACGCATGCATCACGACATAGTTCGTCTGCTGGACCAGTACAACTTGGTTCACAGCCCACACAACGGGCCAAACCACATGGGTGGAGGAAACTCCTCAGTCATGTGTGGGGCCAATGGAGCAGGCTTCATCGGCATGCGCCCCGGACCGCAGGGGAAGAAGAGCAGGAGGGGAGGAGGTGGTGCAAAGGTGGCAGGTGTTGGTGGGGGGGCGAAGGAGCTGAAAGACATGAAGGCAAAGAGAAGAAAGAAGCCTGCAGGGGGAGAAGGGCCGGGTTTGGGTGCTGGAGTTGGAGCAGGAAGTGGAGGAGGTACAGCAGGAGGGAGCACAAATGGTGTCAAGGCAGCAGGACTTCCAGAGAGCTCTGTCACCATGTCACCTGTCGACTCCCTGGAGTCACCTCACTCCTACACAGGCGATGTTTCTGGCACCGTCTCCACCACAGCAAACTCCCCTCCTCTCCTGAGCAGTCCCACCTCCAGACAAATGCTGCCTCCTGTCAGCCACATGCTGGGACAGCAGCAGGGCTGGGTGGGCATGACCAAGCACGGCTACGGCAGCCACATGTTCGGCCTCGTCCCGCATCAGATGGGAGGTTCCCACCCTGGCATGGCCCAGCACCACGGCCAGAGCGCCATGCTGACTCCCATGAATGTCACCATGAGCAGGGAGCAGCTGCCGCCCATCGTCACGTTCCAGATGATGGCCCCTGGAGCGGGCCAGGCCATGCTGAAGCAGCCGCAGCCGGGGCAGGTGCAAGTCACGCAGTCCCAGGGGCAGAACCAGAATCAGGGTCACTCCCAGCAGGGGCCAGGCCACCTCCACTGCCCCCAGAGTATGATGTACCAGATGCCAGAGCAGATGAGCATGGCACACGGGCTCCCCCACACCCTGCAGCACGCCCATACCGTCGGCCACGGGAGCCATGGAGGCATTGAGGGCCAGTCCCGGCCGCTGCCTTCCTATCCGCCCATGCAGAGCCCCGTGGATAAATACCCAACACCCCCCTCCCAGCACAGTTACACCACCGCTGGCTCAGAAGGCACCACGCCCGGCCACTCTGCCCACCCGCCCAGCGAGCACCCATATCTCACCCCTTCACCTGAATCCCCAGACCCTTGGTCTTCCTCCTCACCACACTCCAACTCAGACTGGTCTGACGTCACCACCAGCCCCACCCCTCTGGGGAACTCCCACCATGCACTGCCAACGTCACACCACACACACATTCCAGAGCAGGCGCAGCTGCAGCCGCAGTCGCAACAGATGCAGCAGGCCTCTCAACAGCCTCAGCTGGGAAACATGCAGGTGTTTGCGTAGGCCTGGCAGAGGAAAGCATGGACAGACTGACTTTGGGTTCCTGTGTAGTTTAATAACAACCCATAGTAACGCAATCAATGCTTTTCTCACTTTTCTTTTTAATTCTTTTTTGTTCGTTTATTATAATCATCAGTCACCTCCCCTTTTATACTTCCTTCTCCTCTTTGCACTTAAGAAAACTGTGTATAGTTTTGAAAACATTATTGAGTACTATCAGCTAGAAATCAAAAACTCTCAATACCAGAAACATGGAGTAAGCTGTCACAAGCTACAATCATTTTTTCATGCCGTTCCTGTGATCCCAACCAAGCGTCCTCTGCTCTCTGTTGACTCAGTCAAGACTTTTTGTTTTTTGGCGCAACACACACAAGCTGTTGATTGAGGGATCATGGAGGAACTGCTGACCAGATGGCGGTCAGCTGGTATTGCATGAGAAAAACAGACTGTTGAGATGGACACTGAGACAGACTGTGGACTTCCTGCGTTGATATTGTCTGTTCTGGATGATGTCGTTTCTTTCTGCTATATGCTATCCTTATATGTTGTTCAGTGTAAAAAGCCAGCAAATACTAACTCCTCCTTGGAACCATTCGATCGGCTTTTTTTAATATGATGGGTTACATTCAGTTGATGCTTTTAATGTCGAAGAAAAACTACCTATTTGTTGTCTTTTTGTTTTGTATTCATGCATTGTTTTTATTGTGCTAAAGGGGATTTTTTTTTTTTTTTTTATAAAAGGCTATTGGACGATTAGAAACAAACAAGAAAATGACACATTAAAAACAAATGCACACTGAGGCAACGCGCTACAATGTTGGTCTTTGCTTCACGTGTAAATGCATTGATACAGATTCGCATTTCCCATCAAATCATACAAGAAGTTTTTTACTGGCATGCCGTGGCTGCAGTCAGTACACAGTGTATTAACCATGTTTTGAAGACGGTTACTGCTACAGAAATTCAGAGGAGTTTAGTTTGTGCGGATGTCTTGCCACACACCATACCACTATGCTTGATGAGCTGTTGAGGGATTAATTCCAGAAACTTTATGCAAAAACGTACATGAGTTTTGCCACTCTCGTTGTGTCGCCAGGTTTCGTATGTCTACCATGAACTGTACATACACTTAGAGCACATTCTGCTTCGTTGTAATTCAGCTTAATTTGGCAAAGACCTGTTTTTGTTTTTTTATATGAATACTGTTCGCACTTCCTGGATGATTCTGAATGTTACAGAGGTTTTTACCTTTAAACTGCCTCTTTTCTAAATACTTTTCCTTCCAAAATTATATAACCAGTTTTGCTTAGCTACAATCAGTGTGTCTCTGCACCTTTTTTGTAATGATTCATAAACCAAGTCCGGAGGTGAGGAAGGAAAACTCTTCTGTCTTCCTTCTTAAAGTTGATGTCGAGCATAGCTTTGTGTAACACAGACAATCATTCACTGTTTAACTTTTGAAACTTTAAAGAAAAAAGAAAAAAAGGAACATCAGTGTCTGTAAGACCAAATTTTGTTTTATTCAGCCAAAAATGTACATCGTGTCTAAATTTCTGTTAGTTGTTGTTTTTTGTTTGCAAAAAAAAAAAAAAAAGTCTTGCGGTCTGTCACGAGTTAGACACACAGGACACACACATATCCTGTACCAACAAAATGTTTGTTTGGAATTACTACTGTGCCTGTGTGAACGTAACCAAATGTTTCATCAATGTTCTCAGTACCTGACGCTTCAGGGCCTCATTCTCTTTACTCATAATGTCCCTGCAGTTTCACAAACGCATGTGCTGTACATTGAGGTTTCAGTCAACATTTTTATCCAGAAATACATCAGTTTCCGTACATATGCAAGGCTATGTGTCTATATTCTGTATATAAAATGTTTTTTTTTTGTTTTTTTTTTAATGTTTACTTTCCTCTGTTAACCAAATAGCCCATAATATACATGCAGTATGAAGTAGTTGTCATCATGTTTGTGTAAGGTAGAACAAAAACTGATAAAAAATAAATTGTTGGAGAAAAAGAAAAAAACAAATGATCAACCAAATGTGTTTACTGAAATAAAGCCCAGATCTTCATAGTTTTGTGCATCGATGTTCTTTTCTACACAATTTGTCCCAAAATAATCGCAAAAGTCAAAGTCAGCAGTTTCTCTACCATAGATCTATATTATACTGACAGTTAAAGCTAAAGCAATGTGTCTGGATCAAAGCTTTACCACCACTGATGTCATGGATACATTCTGATAGTACAATATCTGCTGGAAAAAATTGGTCCAGATCTTCATAGTTTTGTGCATTTATGTTCTTTAAAATAAACCCTATGTTTACCCACATGGCTGGTGCTAATTTTGACCCGAAACAAATATGTAAAATAATACAGCACTTCCTTCTGCTTAATTTGTTAAATTTGCCATTTTTGAAGCTATAAATTCAGAGCAACTCGATTCCAGCTTTGTCACATTCAGTAGTTTTTATCAGATGAATGTGTATTATACTGGCTTGTGTTTGGATCGTAGGTTCACTGTTGTGCATTTAGCACCACGGACATCATGGACACGTTTCTATATTACAGTGGAAGAAATGAACCAAATGAGTTGAATGTGTACAATATGAACACACTGATGAATTTAAAGAAAGTGCATCGCATCGCTGCAGTAAAGAACAAAACTTCCACTGTTGTCAGTAAATACCTAAATAGAGATTCTTTAATTATATACAGAATAGAATAGAATATTGAGGATTATAATAGAATAGATTTGAATAGAATAGAATAGAATAGATTAGAATAGAATACAATATTGAAGAATAGAATAGAATAGAATAGAATTTACATGCCACAGCAGCATCCATAAAACATAAAAGAAAAAACAAGGATATTTTCAATATTTTCAATATAAAAGGGAAAACGGTCACATAATTGGTGTGATTTTGGCAGCTGCACTGTTGAAACTGAAATACGGATTGATGGACAAACAGTTTGATTTCGACCAAACACCAGTTTTAAGTAAAGACATTTCTGCGTTGCATTGCACAGGTATTTACTCTAACTATTTTTAGTTTAATTAGATTTAACTGTCTTGAAACCATCAGATTCACACCTTATTTTGCAGCCTGAGCTGAACGCAGGCGGCGCGGTTGGCGGGCCGACCAGCAGGGGGCGCTGAGTCTCACCGAGCGCCGCGACGAACGGACGAAGAAGAGACGTGAACGCGGAAGCCACTGAGGATTTTACATGCATGAGATTTGTTTCCTTGTGTAGCTTCTCTCTCTCTCTCTGTGATTGAGTCTTTCTTCGGGCGGCCAGTTAAATAGCAGATAATGGCAGAAACGGATGCGGGCGTCGGTGCGGAGACTCTGCAGCGGTAACGTCCAGGACGGACGCTCGAGGTCCAGTTGCGGGTCAATGGACGCCAGGACTTGAAGTGCTGCTGTTTTGACAGCTGGGTTGAGCCTCCACTACCTGTCCGTCTGCCTCACAGAAAGAGCTGCAGTTTGTTTTTTTGTTGTTGTTGTTGTTTTTTTAATGCAGTGACAAATACCTACACCTGTGAAGCTGCGGTAGAAGCGCCATTAAAAGAAAAGAAAGGTGAGACCAACTCTGTCACTACCAGCTCTGCTCCTCTAAGTCTCCTCCAGTCCTCACTGCAGCTCCCAGTCTCTCTATCAGCCACCACTGGGTGTCATTTCTTTTCTTTCCTTTGTCCAGCGACCCCACCGAGCAGCGGCCATGGCTTCCACCCGGCTCAAGTACCTCTCCCTGAGCGTGCTGGTGTTCCAGACCACCTCCCTGGTGCTCACCATGCGCTACTCCCGGACCCTGCAGGCCGACGGCCCGCGCTACCTGGCCTCCTCCGCCGTGGTGGTGGCCGAGGTCATGAAGATCTTCACCTGCGTGCTGCTCGTCTTCAAGGAGCACAGTGAGTTCACACAGTCAGACATCACTGTGTGTTTCCATTTAGCAGTTAATTATCTGATTTATAACATAAAGATCCTATGTTGTGCCCCTTTTGAGCAAATTGATGACCCCCAGTTTCAGTTTAATCATCTCAAAACACTGCAAATATGAGTCATTTCACCATGACTTGTAGATGATGGTTTAGTGTTTGTAGCTTTAAATGCAGCAGAGCTACTGCTGTCCCCCTTCAGGAAGAAAACTCTCTTTCTGCATCTGTGATTGATGGCAAAGAGAAACAGCTGACGACACAGATATGACTGAATGTCTGAGGCCGACACCTCCTGTCGCTTCTAACTTTCTCTCCGTGTCATCATTTTAAATGGAAATATCACCGAATTCACAGCACACTCATTGTTTTTTACTCATGTGTTTGGGTAGTTTATCAGACAACTTTATAAATCAGTGTTCCAGCTGCAGAGCGGCAGCTTGGGAAGGGTTTTGAAGTAACTGCTGGTTAACATGTCGTCTGACTGGGCTGTATTTCCGTCACTATTTCATGCTCGTTCCATTGTATAACAACGGAAATGGATAAATATGTGAATGAGAACAGCTTTATTGTGAATTCAGCTCTATTAAAACGCAGGATCTGTGAGCACAGAGAGCAGGATAGAAGTAAACTGACGTAAACACCAGCTGAGTTTAGGTTTCACTGAAGCACAACAGCTGAGATCAAAACACAGCAACACATCCAGTCTTTGTTTATTGGTTTCAAGTCAGTGTGAAAGTTTCCATCATCGCTGAGTGTCCCTCCTCGTTACAGTTTCCATTGAGCTCTGACATGTGGCCATATGGTAATGTTAGCCACATTAGCTACACAACATGCTAACACTAAGGATTTTGCAATTGTTGTGGGGCGATTGCCATCAAAAAAAAAAAATAATAATCCACTGGATCTTTGGTTGCTCAGATGCAGGGGGTGCATGAACATTGTTGTGTTCACTCTTGCAGCAAACAGCAGAACATTTGGTGAGCTTTGCTTGTGCCTGAGACATTTTAGCAGAAGCAGCTCTAGAAAGCAAATAATCCTGGTGGAATGTAGTGGCTCAGTAAAATACGTAATAGCCTGTAAAGCTGGGAGGCTCCCCAGTTGTGGAGCGGCTTTAGGAATAACGGAGAGTAACATTTTCATATCTTATCAGCTTTAATGTTACACGTACAAGTTTGTAGAAACACCAAAACACCTCATGGGACCTTTAAATACAGGTGAAAGAAGTAAAGCTGTGGGAATTTTTATTGCAACAAAAACACTTAGGACAGAAAAGATACGGGTCATATTCCTCCCTAATCATATACTCCACAAACACATAATTGTATCTGATAATTCGGAAGAAACAGCGGTAGTAAATTACAGGTCAGCTTAGTCCACATTGTCACAGTGGATGTTAAATGACACCACGATAGCTTAACTTGTGAATACAAACGACACACAACTTGGGTGTCAGTACTCCCAGGGATAAAGGGTATTAATTACCCACAAATGATCGGAATAAGGAAGTTGCTAAAGTCAAACAAAACAGTTTAATAAAAGGAGTTGATCCGCCCTCACAACACAGGTTTTTCTAGTCCACATACCATAGGAGGCAGAGCAAGCTAACTAAAGTACACAAACGTTACAAACAAAACCAAGAAAGGAAACTTTTCCAACACAAAATAGAAGCAAGTCTGTCATAAAATACCGCCCGGCCACATCACTGTGTCTAAAGACATACAACAAACAAGACGATAGCATCCGCATCTCCTAACACTCCAAACAGGCCTCGCTTTCTTTCAGGCCTCTCAAAGAAAAGAGGAAAACATTAGTAAGATCTTAAATGTATTTCAGTCCAGTGCACCACCACCCACTACGACCTCAGTAGTAAGCATGAAGTAGAGACATCAAAAACCTTCATAAAAGTGGAATTAATGGCAGAGCTTTTGTACTGGATTGTGCTACATTTTGCAGTTGGAACTAATAATGTGGTTACTGGGTGTAGGCTGTCGTTTGAGAAGCTGTGTCCATTCAGCGACTGAGATTTTGATCAGGTATGCTGGGTTACTTCTGTTGTACTGCTGCTGGCACCGGCTCTTGGAAATGCTCCTGTCCTAAAGCCTGATGCAAAAACCAGGTTCACTGAATCATCTGTAGAACCCCATCAGATCCTGAGTCTGAATTACAAAGAACTAATCCAGTTTTTAATCAAGTCAGTAAACCTGCTTCTGGACAGAGGAGCCAAATTAAGTTAACCACTTCAAGAAAGTGACACTTTTGCATTTTACGTCTGTCGTCTTTGCTGTACTGTCAGTTTGTGGAGTTACAGCTTTAAAGAGCCCACATCATGCTTGTTTCCCCCCTCCCCCTGTACTTTAGTGTGTTGTATAAAGCTGCTGTTTTTGTGGATTTAATAGCTCTGCAAACTTACTAGGCCGCGCCAAAGGAAGTTATTCTCCCCCACAAAAAGCATCAAACACCTCGTTTGAAGTTTTTCTTCAGCTACTTATTTACATCAGCATGTAACA